CGGGCACCATTCCGACAGCCAGCGATGTAGCGACGATAATCTGCTGTACATTTCATCGCCACGTCTAGCAGGGATAGGGCCAGAGCACGTTACTGACACACACATCTTCTTCGCAAGGTTGCACACCTCTATAAAATTTGATTTCGTGATCTCCGATTGCCTCAATCGGACATCATTAGTGCCGACGTGGATAATAATCTTAGAGTATTTACGTTTACTTTTAGCCAGCACTTTTAAGTTTGCCGAGATGTCGGTCGCTCTGGCACCAGGGAGACAATTAACTATGGTCGCTGGAGTCGCTACTCTCACATTTCTTAGAATAGAGTCGCCTATTACTAGAGCACTTTCAACAGGTGTCTCAGCGGGAGTTTCACTGAGTGGGGAGAACCTGTTGGAAACGCGAATGGGCGAATGGTGCCGGTGTGAATTATGGTTGGATTTACGACTATGCCGCCGGGTCATCACCCACTCGCCTTGCTGCGAAGGCTCTGCTGCCGGAGCGGGGGGAGACTGAATACCTATGGCGGACATATCTGGAGCCGCTAACACTGAATCAATAAAACTCTCTGTTTCCTAAATGTCCCGTAACGTCCGGATACGTCCCTCTAAAACTACAATCTTCTCCGTCAGCCTAGCGACTAACTGACACTTCTCATAAATAAACGTACTGCTAATAACCGGAGAAGAATAACTAAACATATTGCACTCAGAACACGGAACAGGAGACATGGTGTTGCACTTACGTGAAATGAGAAGTTCTAAAGCTGGAAGCACCTTTTTGATTGAATGGAGATCGTGGGTCGGTGCTTGCGAAGGTGATTAATTCGTAGGGGTTTGGAGAATTATCAGAAGACTATTAAGCTTGTAAGGATTTTTTTTTCCGATGACTTAATTCTAATTATTATTTAGGTGATATCTATAGTTTTGAAGTTCGCGCGGTAGCAACCAGTTTCGCTCACGCAGGAAACAGCGGAAATGACGTGAACTTTTTTTAGAGGAGTTCAAACAACACTCCTCTACTTACGAACTTTCAGAAAAATGAACAGAGAGGACTGTAAGTCCAAATCGTGTTCATTCTGCTCTCGTTTCCTGTCCGCAACATCAATTTTTATTTCTGTGCACCAATTCCGCCTAGTACAACTTGTGACCCCTACTCGCACCGCGAGGCAGCGTAGCGTGCATACTCCCAGCATCCTAATTCTTTGTACTTGCATATACCCTTAAAATGATGTTGAATAATGACTTGAACATGTCAAGTTACGAACGGCCGTTTGGAACGTAAAAAAATAAACTGCCGAATAAAAAAAAATATATATTTTTTTAAAAAGATTGAATTCTCAATTTTAAAAAAAAAGTATATGACAAAAGGCAGGTGCTGAACCAGTTTCTCCTGCTACCACATCCACACTCCGCATCTGAAGTTTTGAATGTCGTTTTCATCTCCAAAAAGGGATAATGTAAAAAGAAAAATTAACTTGTTAAATCGTAAAACATTCACGAGCAGCATAAAAGAACTAGCTGGAGTGAACATGAATTAAAACAGTTTCACCACATTGTTGTTCTTGCTCTACATTATTGTCATCTATACGTTTGATAAGAATAGTACATTTGTATGTTTTATTAGTTTCCTTTGTGAAATACTTTGTGAATTCCATCTCGTTCCAATTTGTGTAACAGTCCTGATAATTGTACAGATGAATTCTGGGTAGATTTGGGCACGCCTCAGAATTGTATTGTGAGCGGTATCGGAGCGAAATTGGAGTGAGACATAGCGACCGCTCCAGCTTTAATTAAAAATTCCGCCTGCTCCGCTCCTCGCTCACGCTCCGCTCCGCTCACGTTATTAAAATGTGCTGATATTAAATGTGTACCATTGGTATTGAAGACATCTCAGGCAACATTTCAGCTAATACCTTAACCTCAATATTCTCACAAACCTTCTTAGAAAAACTTTCTAAATAAAATTTAACATTTCAAAACGTTGAACTTAAACTGTACAGCCATTGAAATCGCTCACTTGTGCTTTTCATATGGTCTAGCCACAATGTGCTTCTTGCCAGCTGAAATGCAAACTTGGCAGCAAGGTAAGACTATTTTAAAATGTTCCAGCAGCGATGGCAAGGTGCTGCCTTGAGGCCCACCACAGTGTGCACACAGATCTTGCCTCCCAAAACGTGCACGATAGTAGGTCAGCTCTACGGGATCCCCACATGAGAGAGCCAACCTGACCTGGATTTTTGATGCAAGAACATGTCTTGGCTCCAGGATATGACTCCCACAGGTGTAGTCAATGCTGTCATCTGACAATGCCTCTGCTAGTGTGGCCTGGTGGCGAGAGGAGAGGAGCTGCACTGAGTAGATGACTCGTGGTTTGGAACATTCCAAGCAGCTGACTACTGCCCGTGCATGTTGGCAGTAAACAGTCCGGATTCTTTCTGCTTCTTCTTCAGTGCATCCGACATGAAGAAGTCGACACACGCAGCTTGCTTGTTTTTGTGGGACTGTTGGGCAGAAGGTCGATGGGTGTCATCTGTGTCTTTGCCCATAACCTCCGCTAGAGTCATGAAATGGTCATTTCAATAATGCATAACACAAACATGTATTCAAGTATTTTGCTTTCAGCTGTGGGCGTAATATGAATATGTAAACTGGTGTAATATTAGGCTAAAACATGTTAAGTGGATAAGCCAGCGTTTGCATATATTACAATGTATTGACTATTAAAGTAAAATTCTTACCAGAGGCATCAGGCATTGGGTCAGGAAGCTAGATCATCCTTTCAGGCGGGAAGACTGGTACTGAACAGCATTCAGAGTCATCACATTTGAGTATCTTAATAAAGACTTATTTAGCTATATAGCATCTTTCATACATTTTTTTGTTTTTTGTTTTATTTATTTTGGAAATGTACAAAGGATATTACAA